CAAGTAATTATGGTTGTGTTCTCTTTTTTTTCCCTCTCTTATATTATCTCTGTCTGTGTGTTGTGATCTTGAATGTAACTGTGATGATAAATTATATATGATCATTAGTTTACACAAAGTAAAAACTTTGGATAAATTCTTTTGCATCCATAAATCGGGTTTGATGGAGTATATTCTTTTAGAAATTTGATGCCTTTTTCTTTGATTTATTAGTTTTGCAAAATTTTGTTCTATCTAGATTGCGAAAAGGTCTTCTCTCGAGTTATGATCCATTCTTGTTCTTGTTTAGTAATTACATTTATTTCTATGGTTTGGGTTTTTGTGTATGATTAATTACAGATTGTGATGAATCAATCCCTATGATCACTCACTAGTTTTTAGTTATGTTCACACCATTTTGGTGATCAAAGTTGCGTTTCATAATTGATTTCTTGTAGTAATGATGTTGAGCGTTTCCTTTCTGAGTAAAAAAACTTGGTCTTTTAAAAAGTTGGGAAAACTGATAATAACGCTTAATTAGCTTTTTGATAATTGACCAAGTTTACTTTATCATGGAAGATTATCATTCTTTAACCATGATGACTCTGCCCTTAGAAGACCGTAGACGTTTTATTTGCCATCGGGAGTATCTTATTCTAACTAATAATTACTTATAAGGTCAATGTTTGCTCGGCTTGATTCTACGAATATCATAACTTCTGGCAGACTCGTACTATATATTCTTCTAAACGCATTTCGAATATTAATGCTCCCAATGGTTATTTCGTTCACTTTGAATGGTTACTCAGTCCAAATCAAACCAATTAGATCAACATTTTTAGTACCCTAAATTGAATACTAGAGTGTGCTTCATTTTTGGAGAAGTAGAGTGAACTGGAAAAATCGGATGAATAGTAATATTTTGATATGGAATTGCTGTTCATTGCGTACTAACATAAAAAAATGGTTGTCTGAAGTTTATCGGACAAGAATGTGAATGGTCAAAAATGTGTGGACTGATATGATTTTGGTTCGATCCATTGTTGTTTCTTTCTTAAAGCTAACAATTAACTAAATAGAATTAAAATACCACCGTGACAAAAAAAAAAAGAATTAAAATAGGAAAAATTTGCCAAAAATACAACAAAAAATTATAATTTGAAAACTAACAAAAAACTCCAAATTCAATGATCTACAATTTGCCACATACCCCATTTTTCTAATTTTTTAATTTTGTTTTTTTGGTTATTCGCCAAAACAACCCATTAAAATACCACTGGACTCCATAAAATATAGAGTCTAGATATAACTCATGGACGTTAGTGTAATTAGTATAGCTTAGAGCATGATTATTAAAGGTAAATAAGGGTAAATATAAGATATTTTTAATATTATAAAATTCTTATATTTATCCAAACTATTTTTGGGTATCTAAATATAGAATCTATATTACCCATATTTAGTGGGTAAATATAACA